CCCCCACCCCAAGCTCAGGGGTGAGGAACCTCCTCAGGACCACCAATTAAAACAGACCAAGAGGAGGAAAAGGCCAGTGTTATTCCAGAGCTTTGCCCCAGTGCCAAACACACACGGGTGAGCAGGGAGCCCCCTTGGCACAGCTTCTGCCCAGGCTGTCTCTGCGCCCGCATCTGGTACCCACCAACGTTGCAGTCGGTTCTGCCTCACTGCTTAGGCCCTTCCAAAGCTTCACCCCAAAGGATCAAATATTGATTTATGTGTTTGGAGAGAGACAAGTGGATTGTAGAAAAGTGGGAACTGAGAAGTGAATAAAACCCATCTGTTCCCTCATCCATCCCTTTAACAAGGATGGAAGTTGTTCATCAAAATCTCGAAGCCAAACTCTAAACACGTGCCCCAGGAGCCATCCCAATGCCAGACCTGTAGGATGCTACAAAACTCGCAGGCTCCTTAAACCCTTCCCACAGGAGGTTCACAGCCACGAGCTGCACAAACCCAGCTGGGGAAATGCTGCCCTAAAGCCCCACTTCCAGCCCAACATGGTGAAACAGCAGAGTGTGACCAGAGGTGACAATAAAGCATGAGATTTTCATGGCCCTCAACTCCAGCCTGACAGGTTCTGCCCCATCATAACCACATCCCAAATCTTTTCTCCATCCCCGAGTGTAAATCCCACTGTCAAGTGGAGCTACCTGTGAGGCCGGGGAGAACAGGCTCCCAGGAACACCGTCTCACTTCGGTCTGTGGAGCGGCGAGACGGGCTCCCGAAAGGCAACAGACTGGAACAACCGCCCCGAGCTTCCAGGGCTCATTAACTCTCCTTGGCCAGATCCCTGATTTGCTACATGATGCATGGAGTAAGAATTTCCACCCTCAAGTGTCCGGAAAAGCAGTTCAGCATCCCGAGGCTGATCAGCCACCGCACCGGCCTCCCCGGCCATCGCAGATACCCAGTGCCTTCGATTACATCATGCCTGAAACCTGGAATGCAACTCAGATGGTGAAGGCATTAATGGCAGCAATGTAAAGGCTCAACAATGCAAACCTTCCCAAGATGAACTGTCCTGACCTTCTCTGGGCTGACAATAAAAGTGTGACATCATGTGTAAACGAGCTTTAAATTCAAACCAGGTGCCGAGGGCTGCCTGGCGTCGGCGTCGCTGCCGTGTGAGCGGTGCTGCTGGGGGCAGCAGAAAGGCCAAGCACAGACAGGACATACTTGACAACAAACCAGGTCTGGGCAGCTGGTGCAGCACAGGACAGAATTAGTTGGTGCTCTTTGGCGCCGGTTTCAGATGGGGCAAACACTGTTAAATAAAACACAGAGTGGCTGATATTCATTTCCACGTGTGCGAGCGTTCCTACAGCTCTGGAATCGAGCCAGCAGCACGATAATGAGGGGGTTTTTTCCATGTTTCCTTATATTCAGGACTCCCTCAGACCTTGCAAAGTGTTTGGAGCTGTACTCACGGGACACAGCTATTGGAGAGCACTGTGGTTTACAGCCAAAAAGCACATCCATCCTCCAGAGCCCTTCTTGGCCAGCCATCATTCCTCTTGCTGCTATTCCCTAATGGAATGCTCTGTCCTCCCTGTCTGATTCTCACCTTGCTGAACAAAAATGCCCTTCCCAAAGGGCAGTTTTTCACCCTACTCTGCACTGCCAGACCAGCCGGTCACCCTCCTCCCACATCCCAGAGGCAGTGCCGGCACAGCTCCCACAGCCCCGGGATCACTTCTGCTGCCTCGTGGTTACAGCAGGGAGCAGATCAGAAGAGGCAGGTTTGCTGTCCATGAACCAACACCTGGGAGGACAAAACCTGCAGTTCTCGCTGGACAAGTTATGTTTTGCATCCATTTCCACCAGGAACGACTCTTAAGAAGGATGCCCTTCCCTGGTGAAAGCGATGCTACATCCCGAGCTGGGGTGGCAGCAGCACCGCTGCAGGGACAACCCTTGGTGGTGCCACCAAATGGGCACGTTATGCACAAAGCACAGATGCCAATCACGAGTTACACAAGTTCTGTTCTTTATTTTCTGTTTGTTTGGCTTTCCTGGGGACGTGCCTTGGCTGTCCCGCAGTGAACCTGAGGCAAGGAGAACTCAAAAAGGAAAACTTATTGTACCACACACAAAGGTTTGACGTGAGCTGGGCAATTTTTTACATGCAGATCATTACATGAATTTCTTTTGAGAATTCCATTTCCACATGAAGCGTGGCTGGATGATCACAGCTGAAATGCAAATACCCGAACCACCACCACAAACTGCAGAAATTAGGCAGTGCTTTTATAATACTGGAAATTCTCTCCCACTGGCAGTAAGAGTAAACATATCCAAAGGTTTCTCCGTAGGCAGAGCAACTACAGTGAATGCTTTCGACATGAAAGTCAATTGTAAATCAACGATCTCAGGCAAAGTGTTAAAATAAATCTAACTGGGAAAGGAGTTCTACAACAATCAATGTTACTCGAGCTCCTGGACTGAACTGAATTTCAGTCTTTAATCAGAAGAGCACATTAGGATGCCCACTACAGAAATATCAATTTCCATCTCCTTAAGTAGGGACATTTGGAAACAAGTTGATTGAAGTATTTTAAGTGATCAATTGATAAATATGTCTATCTTTATTTTTTATAGTAATATCAGTGTAAGCTGATGCTAGTGCAAATGCTTCGTATCCCTCACAAATAATCCTCAAAATTAATTTCAGGAATTCATCTTAAATGAGCTGGGCCATATTGGCAAAATATCCACAGATGTCCCTAACTCTGCTCTAAAGAGCAGAGGACAGGACAGTTTGACTGTGTCTCAATTTTCTCTGTACAATTTTAAACAAACCCCTGCCACGAAAATCAATATATTAAAATCCAAACTGCTCAGAAATGCGGGAATAAAAGATGAGCATTTGCCACAATGCAAAGCCCAGTTTTGAGGGCTGTTGTTTATCACTCTCCTTCCTGCCATGTTGGTTACAAAAGACACTCTCCACACCCAGCTTGCCACAGCCCAGCTGAAATCTGAGCAGCCTTCAAATGGAGAAGGGATGGAAACAGGAGAAACAGAGAAAATAAATCAAAGGCAACCAATGAATTTTCATCTCTTACATTGTTCTTCCTGCTCAGCTGGGGAAAGGGAACCTTGCCAAGGGAGTTCAGAAATGCTGCGGGTCCCTTCACCCATTCCTGTCAAGTCTTCAGAAAAGGTTGGAAAATGCCAATGACATGTAATAAAGCAGAATCACTGAAACTTATAAATCTGGAAATTCAGAAGGAAAAAAAAAAATCCAGACACAAGAATAAAGAAGAAAATATTTCTCAGCATTTGAGTGAGCAGAGAGCTCCACACTGGAGGCTTGTTTTCCTCAAAAAATACATGCAAATAATCAACTGTAGCAAAACACAGAATGGCCATGGGAGATGTGAAAGATAAAAACAGTGTTCTTACTCTGCTTTTTCTTTGTGGACAACACTCATACCTCCTTCTAAATTTGGCAATAGAAGTTCCTTCTCTTTCTGCCCCTCTCCTTCCCTCCATATTTTAAGTATTATAGAAACTTAGAAGTAGCAGCATTTCTAACTCTTTATCAGATGAAGGGTAACAGACATCCTGTAACCCCCCTGTGCTATCCCTTCTGCACCACAGCCAAAATGTAATAATAGAGCTCAGCAGAGCTGTGAATTGCTTCCATTCATCCTCACCACATATTAACTTCATACACTGGCATTCAGTCATTCCAAAATCTACCTATCAGGACAGTCAGTTGATAGCCAGGCTAGTTAGGATAATACCCAGGGATTGAAAACAATACTGTAGTGGTTTCTGCAGCATGACAGGAATCCACTGTAAAATTAACACTGCATTTCAGGTATTTTCTCAGTGACATTTTTAAGATGATGCACACAAACCCAACTGCCCGGGGGCAACAGAGCATGGCAAGACTCAGCTTTTTCAGGGGGGAGGACGAAAGACCAAAAGCTTAGCAAAGCTTTTGCCAACTTCCTGTCCCCTCACAGATCATCTAAGTATTCAGTTAAGCCTTGTTGGTTAGTTTAAAATAAAGTGACTGCAGTGATGTCCTACAGGTACTACTCCATAGTATCTACAAGAGCAGATACAATAAATGAGAAACAATTTCCATAAGAATTCTAATAAATACACTCCCTAAATTCTAATGTCTGACAAAAATCCCTGAGTTCATTCTCATCAATGGTCTTCTGCTTTCCTACAAAGTTTTGGTTCGGTCCCATCAGGAAATCACTTCCCGATGTACAGCTGTCACTGTTTGCTGAAGGCACACTTTTGTAAGGTATATATTTAGGTTTTTACAATACTGCCAGAGATTCCCTGAGTGTCTGAATCCCTGTAGTGCAATGAAGCCCAGGAGACACAGCTATCAGAGGGCAGCCACAGGCAGAAAGGCAGCTACACGTGGCTACCAAGAGTTAAACAAGTTGGGAGAACTGCAAGAACAAAGGGAAGTTAATTTTTTTTTGGCAGACAACATGTCACATCTCTCAGCCACGTTGGTTTTCTGCTGGTTAAACAAGCTGACAGGAGCCACTGCCAGTGCCACAGAAGGAGTTGGAAACTCTTGGCCAAGAGTGGACATGCTGTTTCTGGTACTGCCAAAATATTAGACAGCTCACCTGGAATCATAAAACCTCTGCTAGAAACTTTATTATAGAAATAGCTACAGTATTTTCCAGGGATTCTTTTCTTTGGGAACCTACCAAAACTACTGAGTTGGTTCCCAGGCCTCACCATACATGTCTATTCCTATAGTAAACCCTGAAGTAGAAGGGTATTTCCCGGCAAAAAGGACTCCTGAGGCAGTACCAAGCTGCACCACCCCGGTGCCTTCAGGCCATCCATCAAAAATGAAAACTATCTTATGGATCCTGAGAAAGCCAAGTGATCTGTTGGCATGAAAAATCCTAGTCTGCAGGCTCAGGAATAGGGAAGGTGATTCCAACTCTACTCTTTGTTGTTCCTCCCTATTCGTCTTCAGAGAGAGATTTTCACCTTCCAAGCCCAAACCTTCTCTGACACACAACAGAACATAAAATATGGAAACACTCTAGTTCAAACCTGTAACACTTGTAAAAATGGGAATGAGAGGGAAAAAGAAGAAAGTCTTTCACTGGGAGTAATACTGAGTAGTATTCAAAAGCAGACACTAATTGAAAAATGTCTATTATTAACTGCAAAATGAAAGTACTTCCTAATGCTACTAAAAGCTATTATGCTCAATAGGCAAAGCCTGCTAATTTAACAGTTGCATCATTACGATTCAAGAGTGCTGACACATAAAAACTGTATTTCAAAAAGCAATTAACAAATATTATTATGACATGCCCATTAAACTGGGCTAAGGCAGCTGGTTTCTGGATCCATCTTAGGATAAATTAGCGTAAACACTTGGAACCAGACAGTTCTTACTATGAACTGGCTGAAGTTTTGGAAATGATTCAAGCAATGGAAGTCTTGCACAGTTTAGGATAACATGCACTATCCTAACAGCACATATCATGATATGCACATAATGACTGATATAATACCTGTTCACCTCGTTGTCTTTAAAGGGGGAGTTATTTCAAAGTTCTACTTTTGTTCACTATGTGCCCCACAACCATTTCTGCATTGCAGAAACTCTCGAGAGACCTTTTCACCTGTCACTGTTACGTCATTAAAAAACAATGTTCCAGAACGGCAAAAACTAATTGTCCAGTAACTGAAGGGAGCGACTGAAGATTAAAGCAGGACCAACACAAATGCAGTTGAAAAGAGCATCATTTCTTCCACAGGCAGCTTTGGTCAGTGTTTCCTTAGGATGTCCAGCCTTCATTGCTGTAGTGTTGCCACATCCCTCGTTCCTGCTGTCCTCCTGAGGCTCAGTTCAGACAGTGTGGCAGGAGGCTGCTAGTGATCAATCCAATTGTAAATTATTAGAACTAAACTCAGAAGGCCGACACAAATGCCAAAAATAACCAAGGCACACGCCTGTGAAGAAAGAGAAGCAAAAATTAATGTCTTGCTGGAGGAAGCATTTTACCTGCTCAAGGTTTATGACTAATGATGACAAAAACCTGTAAGAACAGGTATGAATGGTGTCTTTTAACATAATCTTTAATATTTCAGATTACTCAGTCTTCAAACACCAGGTATCTGCTTAGGGGGACACTAAACTCAGCCCGGGACAGTTTCACTGGGAACTCTGGAGCAGTCTGGTTTGCCTGCTCACACTATCCATCTGCACAAAACACAAATTGTTTTGCCCTTTACAACTCTGAAGGAGTTTAGAAACCGAATTTGTATTTTACTCAAAATGCAATTAAAATTACAATGGATCCTTTACATTTTTGAATAGCCAGATGATAATAAAATTACGAGACAAGGCCCCAGACCTGCGGGAACTACTGCTGACTTGAAATGGTCAGAGGGCATCATTATTAGAATTTCTTTCAGATTCCCTGTTTTGTCAACACAAGAACAGCCCTGTGACTCTTAAGGATGGCAGAAGGACTGTGCATAAAGAGTTTGTCAGCATTTTGGTCACTGCTGTGAAGCTGCTCTGCTGAGCAGTGGTTAAAATGAAGACAAGCAGTTACAGTGAAAAAAGCAGGCCTGCTGCAGAAATCCCAACCAGAACCTAACCTACTATTACCAAAAGAGAAACCACAAAGAGGAGGGAAAAAAAAAAACAAAGGAAGAAAAAAAAAAAAAAGATGCTTGCATAGAAAAGGAACATAAAAACTGTTTCACTTAAATGCAGTTTGGCTTTGTCCCAGCTGCTCAGGACAACATCAGAGTAATGTGTAAAAACTGAGGAGAAATTGGATTAAAAGTCAACATCTGAAAACTACAGGGAAAGGTACATGCTCAGACAAATGATCCAGCACATGGACACACTGCTTGTCAAAAATCCCTGGTGAAGGAGGAGTTTCAGAAAAACCAGAGCTACTACAAAGGATAAAACAAAATGCTCACAGATTTTGTGAGCTGCAACAAGAACTCTGTCCCTTGGATCGTGTGCTCTAGAGTGTATAAGAAGCACTTAAAATGGGCCTATTTAAATGTTATTAGTGCACATGAGAAAATAAAAAGCATACCCCGAGTTTCTGTGGTGATACGAAGTCCTCTCTGCTAAGTTTGAGATAAAATAGTCCAGGATATACAAAAAGCAAACAGGTTGATGTGGTTGAACCTTGGACAAAAAAACAAGAAAGTAAGATTTTCTTTAGAGAAGACTGAAGTGCATTACAGAACCATATACTGAACTTTTTTCAAGGTGAAATAAAAACCAAGGAAACCAACCACCACAAGAACTTACCTACTACTCCAAACACATTTTTAATGTCTGGCACGTACATGGCAAACAAAACAACAACCGTATTCAGCGTCAAAGTGACAAGGATATGGCAAATCCACGACACGGGAAGATGAGAGAAAAATACCATCAACACGGCCTTCCTTGCCTACACAACACAAAGAGAAACATTGTGTGGGTGAATACATACATAAACATGTATTTTAATCTTACTTCACTTTCATTACATCAGGAATTATATCATTCCACATGTGAAAGAGTATTTCAAAAGCCAAAAATCCCCAAAATTCAGGAATAGCTTAATGCTTTTGTCTTTCTGCAGCACAGAGTTTAATTTATTACTTTATTAAAGCAAGATCTATCACATGGATATTAGACTTAAGGAATTACTCCTTTTTTGGAGGGACAAAACAAGGCCTGGGTGACAGTGCTTTGTCTCTCTGAACATCCTTGGTAGAAAATGTCAGTATTCAGATGTATACTGAGTGAATTGTCAGTTCTACCATGGCATTGATAAACTAAAGTAGGCAGGTTTTTTTGTGAAATAGGTCAATATGTGTTTTTAATTTACAATTAAACTGAGTTTCAAGTATAAGTGTGTTTGTGTGTGGGTGTGTGCGTGGGCAGAAAGGAAAAACCAAGTCAGCAAAACTCAATTTAAGAGGGGGGAAAAAAAAAAAATCAAACTAAATAAACTTTAGAAGTTCTGAATTCTCTAAATTAAAAACAATGCTGTGGGCTAGTTTTAATCTGAAATCTGTCTCAAGAGCACAAATTAGCTTAGTGGTTAGTTGTTATTTTGGAGCTTTCATGGAACATATGCAAATATGTGGTCTTTGATCAATCACTTGACAAGTGAATAAGATACACAAGACTAGATGTGACTCAAATATTGCAGTCTGCAAAGCATTAGCATTCCCAGTGCTCACTGCCAGCTTCAGAACACTCAGGAGTACTTACTGGGAAATGGATTAGAGGCACTGTCAAGAGCACAGCAAACAGGATGGCTACTTTAACAGTCATGATGACCATATCGTGGGGCAGGTACCTGGAGTAACCTCTCAGCAATTCAGAGTCCACTTTGTCTGGAAACAAGAAAAATTAATTGCTCAGTTAATTATTTTAGGACTAAGATAATTAACATGGCATATTAAGCTGACATTCAGATGGATCCATCTGCTTGTGACTAATGCAGAGAGAAGGGGGGTTCAGACACACAGCACTCTGGCATTAGTGATACAATAAAGTACATAATCTTCAGAAAAATGAAGAAACTTCAGCAGAGCCTCTGCTGAAGCCAGAGCTGCCTAACAGAGAACATAAAAATATGAAGGAGACAGCATAAAAAAAGAAAGATCATGAACCCAAGTGTACAGTCAAACTTGTTGTATGTCTCTGAAACAGTCAACACCAGAGTCTTGTGGCTGAACTAGAAGCCAGAAACAAATTAAATTTTGCTAAATTGACTGGATTGCATTTCCTTTTTTTTTTTTTTCCCACCAGAAACATTATGAGAAATGCAAGGTAAAATTTCAAGCTGCAATTCTAATTTAAAGGAAGGAATAAACTCTTCTGGTGTCTGTGCCTTTACTGGCTGTGGGTAGCAGTATATTGCTGGATGGCACAGAGAAGGATAAACAGCCTCAGCGGGGCAAAAAGGGATGAATCAGTGATGAATTCCTCACCTTTATCTATTGCCCTTTAAAGATGAAAATGTTCCCTAACTTAACAGCAAAAGTCAGAGAGCTATGAAAGAGGCCTGCTACCCTGACTTTTTTTTTTTTGGTTTTGGCATTCCTGCTTTCTTTGGACTTCAGAATGGACCACAATTTCCAAAGTCCAGTCACCCTCTGAAGGTTCAAATTCACAGAAAACAGAAGAAGCCATCTGAACCACAGAAAGAGGAAACATGTCTCATTTCAAAGAGGGAATTCTTTTGTTTTCAATTTAAAATAAAATGTTTTACATTTTCTCAGGCTGGTGTTTTATGAACAGGGAACAGATTCTCTCTATTTAAAGAAGTAAGTTAGTTAAAAAAGACAACCAAAAAGTGAAAAGGAGAAGAAGCATGCAATGGGAAACGAACAAACAAATAAAAACAACCCTGTTACAGACATCCACTGCTGATTCCAGCATTTCAGGCTCTTGAGTCTTAAGAATTACTAAAAGAAATCAGGCTTCAGAAAACTAAAAATCTTCCCAGTGCCACAGAATAAAAGGTTATGGTCAAGACAGGGTCTTGTACCAGTCATGACAGTGAAGGTAACAGGAAATGGGATGGTTTCCAGGACTACTCTTTTTTCCCATTTTTCTCCTCCCCCTCTTATTGAGATTTCACCTGGAGACGGATGGTCATCCTGCTGAACTCAAAACTGTATCTTCCAACAAACCACATGGAATCACTCAGGGTTACAGTAATAGTGGCTGACACACCATGAGGGGCTTCAAGACTCCCCACATCATTATTCAAAGGTTTCTGAGTATCAAGAGAATATTTTCAGACATACACCTACACTTGGGGGGATAAAGGTACAAAATTCCCTCAAAATCTGGAATTATTAGCTGCTGAAAGCCAATATTCTTGGTGCTTTGTCAGGCACAATCCCATCCCCATGATCAAGAAACATAAAACACTCTGAAAGGCGAGGCAATCCTAATCATAACACTTTTGTCTTACTGCTTTACTGTGTCCTATAAGAATTTTTATTCATTCCAATCAATAAAGATGAGCATGTGATCATCTCATAAAAAGGGTGAGCTTTCAGAAGACACCAGAAGAACCTTCATAGATGACTGAGATGCATTCATGTGACAGAATTTGTATGAAACTACTCCAGAATCAGCAGGTTGGAGCAAAGCACACAACTCAAATTTACACTAGGACACACACAGCCAAATTTCTTGGGAAAAGGCACCCTGCTATGATGTTATGTGAGCAGGACACAAACATTGCTATATAAAACAGACACTCACCTACTTGTGCCAAAGTTGGGATGGACCTTTAAAAAAAAGGCCACGGTGTAGGTAAGGGGTCTGAAATCTCTCTGTGCACTTGGGAAATCTGGCCAAGAGTGTCACGCGCACAAAGTCATCTGTGTTTAAACTCAACTAAGAAACTGTAACAGAAGTATTTGTAAGTGCAAATGCAGAGTTATTACACTGGTACTGAAGCACACTGTCACCTAAACTCTACAGCAAATGAAAGGTGACCGTGGAGTTTGGCTGGGCAAGTGTCATATCCCACCCACTCTTCTGGTTGGTAATAAAAAGGTACATTTACTCCATCAAGCACTATGTCGACAACATCTCCAAGAAACGTGCACTTCTTGCTCCAGTTCGTGTATCAAACAGACAAATTTCTGGCTCAGGAACATGAAACACAAATTACTGACAACAAGAAGTATGTGCTGGAAAACCCAGCTCATAGTTTGTCCTGTTAAATTTTTTAAATCCTTCCCTAGTCTTTTGTCATTGCTCTTCACTGCGTCCAAGTCACAAAACTAGATGGGCACTTCTGTCATTCAGGCCTTCTCTGTCATTTTTTTTTTCCCAGAGTTCTCTAGTTTGTCTTTACACTTAAACTAAGATACCATAAAGAAGGCACTTTGTCAATCCTTTCAAATAAGCCTTTCCATGGGAAGACCATGCTGCAGACCTCCATGCCTTCCCAGCATTAGGGTTGGCTTGCTGTGGGTGGAATTCCTCTCAGAAAAGGCAACAGCCTCGGTGCTACTCAGAGACTACAAAACCCAGGGCTATCACAGAGTCAGTGAGTGATAACTCCTGGTAGAAGGTAAAGCCTTGGAGCAGACAGACCTTTCAAACCCGTTGGACAAGCAGATTATTGTCGGATCTCAACATTTCTTACAGACCGTGACAAATCTGTTCCCAGCTTTTAACTGAAAATATTATACAATCCAAGATATAGTGGCAATCAGTCTAATTGCACAGTGTTAGAGAGAGCATCAACAGACCATCAGCTACAGTTTAGGAACCAGTATGTTGTCTGTTTATCATTTTAGGGCATAAACCCTGGGAAGTTTAGCTATGTTACACACTGAGAAGTCAGTGAGACTGTAATACTTTGCAGTGTTGGGCATAGTATTAAATCTTGACAGGAGCAAGCTTTCTGAGGATTCAAGAGTATCAATGCCTGCAGAATTCCAGGCAGAAGACATTTGTCATCAACCCCCATTCTAAGGAATACCTGAAGAACACACTTACCATAAAATGTCAGGTACCCAAACAGAGCAGACACAAAGTAAATTAGGAAACTCAGGCCAATTCCTGTGACAGTTACGTTCTGCATTCTGCTTTTGGATGGACTAAAATGGGAAAAAAAACAAAACAAAACAAAACAAAAAAAAAAGGAAATTAGTGTTGCTTGATCTGTACTGAGGACAATTAAACACAGCACAATCTACAGAGCACCTTGACTTTCACAAGATGTATTTTCTTAATTTATGGGCACTGAGTATTTGCTGAGTTCTGTGTTGTCCCTAATATTTAGGGGGTTTAAAAGTATTTTTAGACTGGCAATTAAAGGGCACTTTTCAAGCAGTCAACTAACACTGTACCCATCTTGTAGGGAATTTAGACATCTTGGTGCATCTTTTAAACCAAAATTTGGATTTATACAGGATGATATCTATTCAGAGCAAAGAACAGATCTGAGTCAAAAAGCCCCACTGCATCAGATACGGCTAAATGCAGATTCAGTTACAGCAATAAAAATTGACCATTAAAATACCTTAACAAATGACATTTTTTTCCCCTCCAGACTGTCCAGGTCAGGACAATATACTGACATGGATGAACCATATTTGCTACTTTTCTCTCCTGTAAAAGTCAGTATAGACTAAAACTGTACGTTTCCCAAAAACAAGAAAGCTACTTAGTTAGCATTGTTTGATGGCACTGACTTGAAGATTAATTTAGGGAAAATATTACAAAAATGCTGTAATTCTATTTTAGCATTTCAAGTGTTTTCATACACTACCTTTGGAGCTCACAATAGATGGGTAAGACTGAGGTATGGCAGAGAAAAGAGAAGGCCATGGTTGGTATTGCATAAGCACTCTAAAATAGAAGAAAAACATCTTGTAAGTTGTTTGTTATGACTGTTGGTTGGAAAAATATCTGGATGAACTCAGAACTCAGTTCAAGTGTTGGAAGTCAGAGGAAATAATTCCACATTAATGGTTTGAGATAAATCTCCACAACACAGAAATCCCACAAAATTGGACCTTTTCAAGTCCAATAGGGACCACTTCAAGTGGTCCCTATTTTATCACCAGAAGTCATGCTGTCTATAGGCCAAAACCTGCAAGATTCCTTTTTGGCTCTACTGAAGCCAAGTGCTTATGTAGAAAGAGCAGGATTTGTTCCAGAGTCAGCACATCATTCATTAAATTCCCTAAGAAGTTTCCTAAATTCCAATATCCATAGCTACCTGTCAAACTGCTGATTCCTTCATCCTGACTTCACTGTTTTATTACTCTCTGACAAAAATCTGGATGCAGCATGAAATATAACAGAAAATATTAACAGCAAATGTAACATGCTTTGGCATCTCAAGTTTTAAGAGAGTTATGTAATTAAAGCTGCAACCACGCAATTAGTGGTTTATTACTCCAAAAACTTGTAATAAAAGAGATGAATCATCTAGCATGGCTTGCTGCAATTGCCAACTGGAATAAACTGAACTACAACAAACACTCTTGTGCTGACATAATCGGGCCCATACTGGTAAAGATATGCCACTTTCTACTGATAAAGCCAATTTTAAAAAAGAACTAGAGGTGAGTCCCAAGATTCTTCAAAGCAGAAAAGGCCATACAAAAGGCCAGAATCTCACAGTAGATGTTTCTGGTCAAAGCACCATTTATGCTTTCATCTCCAGATAACATTTGTCTCATGGGTGCATTGCCCAAGCTTTTTTGTTTTTTAATTTCCCCTTCCCTTTTTTTTGTGAGGGTGGGGGTGGTTTTGTTTTTTTTCAGATAAATGCACCCATGTCCTTCCTAAATCCCACTACAGGACTGTCCCAGGTTTAATTTTACCTTTTTCCCTCCCTCTTCACCCCACAGCAACAAGGGTTCTACGTGACACTTCCTCCCCTGCAAGCCTTGATGGGCGGTGACATGATTTAAATGCCACATTAATTAACAAATACCAGATCTGGCACCCAATGAGGTGCACAAAGTTGCATGAGGCTGAAGAATTAGCTTCAGGTAAGGAAAAACTAAGGTTAGGTCCAGGCATTGTCAGGAAACCTGTTCTGCCTTGCCAGGAACTAAGGGAGTACATACAGCCAAATATCACTGACTTCCAGCTGCGGGCACATTAAGCTGGCTTGATCTGATTGCATCATCAGGCTGACCACTGCTGCATCTGTTAGACTTTATTCCTCATACTTGAGAAGTACTCTTTATTCGTCATATTTGAAAAATATTTTCATAAATGCCAACTTGGACAGTCAGCCTTCGTGCATAAAAAAAGTGAGGCTGGATAACCCTTGGCAGCAGGTATAGGAAATACTTCAGCAGCCTGTAACTGGTTTTACAGAAGGACAGCTTACCCTGGATAAGGTTTAAACCCCAATTTTTTAAAAACCACCACCCCCCTTTAAGTTTGTGTATCGTTAATAGAGATTACCTCTTTTGAAAGATGAAAGAGCTTTGCTTTACAATCCCCAGTAGAATTTGAAACCTGTAAAACATAAACACACACACACACACAAAAAAAGGCATAATGAAAGAATAAGCCCAAGCCACAGACATGAAACTTTTCAGTTTCTGTGATGATTAATAAAAGAAGGAATTTAAATTGCAAGCCATTCTGAAAGTGTTAATGTAAAAAAAGTATTACAGTTTACTAGTAAAATTAGAACTTCAAAACGGAGTGCACTTTACCTGTAAAGCCTCTATGGCACTAGTCAGAGGTAGAGGACAAGGGATCGACCATTTTTTAATCATAACCTGCAAAGACAGCAGACATTTGGTGTATGAATGATAACCTAAAAAATCAGTTTTCAATTTAGATACACATAGCTAAAATATCAGCCTGCTGGAACACACAGCAGGGAGCCACACCCACAGTAAATTACCAGGCCTGCCTGGTAGACAGGCCACCAGAAGGAAACTCTGACAAGAAAAGCTTGTCAGTGCCATTCCATCCAGCTGCTCACCCGGCACAGCTGGCAGCCTTATGGCTGTGGGGATCTGGAGGTGGGGCACTGCAATGGGCTCTGACATGAGCTGAAATACAACCAGCACTCCCCATCCACTCTCCCCGGGCTCCACACCGAGGGCCTCCCGTACGGAATAGCTGCTGTGTTAGCGATCCCAGGCTCGAGCCTTAAGTAGACAAGCCCTAAACAGAGATAGAGCAGAGCCTAGGGCTAATCTTAAAAAGGCAGAAACATATGGTTTGGACTAGAAAGCAAAGGAAAAACAATAAATGCAATTATTGTCCCAGAATGTCATTGGGCCTTTAGCTACACCCTGCTGGTTTAGGGACTGCCAAGTAACAGGGCTGAAAATCAAAGGGAAATTAAAATAAGAAATGCTACCTCCCTTTTCAGGAGCCCAGTTTAAAATGATAGTTGCATTGCTCTCCTCACTCTAATTAATTTCCTATTGTAGTTGCCTGGCTTTAGAGGTTATAATTCTTTTGAAGCCTAGAGCAAATAATTAAAAACTTAATTAAAGACTCTGATTCACAAGAAGAATAACATGGAAGGGAGCGCTTTTCCTGGCTCAGAGAACCACGTTTTGCTTGCTGCCAAGTGGTGTTTCCCAGAGGATTAGATGCTCCCTCTTGTCACCAGTGCCAGGAGAAGCAAACAAATGTTACCTCCAGACAAAATGTGGGGAAAGGGAACTGCGAGTCCATGGCAGGCTGAGCGCATTGTGGCAATAACACGTCTTACACTGCACAAGGAGGGCAGCTAACTCAAGGTATGGAACTCAACAGCAGCCTGAAAACGTTGCGAGAGTGGATTATCAAGAGAAATCCTCCAGTCATGTTTCTGGCACTGCTTTATGCCATTTACTGATTGTCTGAACTGCCTCCCTCTGTGCCATGGGAACCGCACCCTCACCTGAGGGAGGCTGTGAGAGGGGACAAGGACGTGCTGGGGGTATACCAAGAAGTTCAACTGAAGAGCAAGTAGGGGAGGAGGAAAAGGCCAAACTCTAAAATATAACTTGGGCCTCTCTGATTTAAAGGCACCCAGATGGGGGGAAATGCAGGAGAAGGCTCCAAAGTACTTGGCTTTGTGGAAACTCTGCCTAAAGCTGGGATGGGCTTCCTGAGCACTGCAAAGGGGCATGGAGCTGAAGGGGCAAGGTTTGGGGAAAGTAAAATGTGCCTGGCAGTGGTGAGGGCAAGGTTTCCGGCCAGCTAAAGAGCAAAGTTATATATAAACATTGCAGAGGGAGGACAGGCCAAGCTGAATTTAAAAAGCCGAATGACATTTTTTCTAAAATAAATGTAATACAGATTAAGAAATGGAAACTAAAAAAAAACAAATAAAAGGACAAAATAAAATGTATTAGGTGCATTTAAAATTTATATTTATATTTGCCCACCTGCTTAATTATTCAATTCTGTTTGGGTTTCCAGCTGTAGTCTAATGAGGTCTCCCCAACAGGAAGAAATTTTTAAGCTGGCAGCACAGCCCAATTAGCTGAGTCGTCACACAGGCAGCACAACCTTCCTCTGGAACTTTAAGCCTATTTCATATAAATGTTCTTTTGAGTATAGCAAACATTTGGTTTTAAGTAAAAAAATTAAAAAATAAAGAGAATGTCTAGTGGAAATAGGGTATTTTAAACCCCCACCAAAAAACAGTGCAAATAAATCAAGTTAGAGGCTCAAAGTGTTCTAATATTCTCAGTGATGTTGCCTTTTCATATCCTGCAGAGGGAAAACAGGAGCCCCTTTACTCCAGCAGCACTGACAGCACTCAGTAAAGAGGGGCCTGTCTGTGCATAACATCATTCATTACATATGGCAGGTTCCCAATCTGCATCACATTTTGTTCTGGGAACATAAACAAGAGATTTAGAAAAATACCGTCCGTAATCATTAACACCTTTGTTGAACAAGCTACCAGTAACTCTGGCTACACAAACACACACACACCCACAAAATGTGTCTTTACTCTTCACCAGTATTCAACACAGCAAGGGGGGAGGCAGTAAAAAAAAAAAAAAAGTTTACCAATCATAATTTCTTTTCACTAAGGACTGAAGTCAGGGAAGTTTTCAGTAATCAGAAATGAAAGTGCTCAGGACCTCACAGAATCTGGCTTTGAATTAATATGTATTTGTTTATCTCCCAGATCAGCTCATCTCAGTGTCTGCAAATTTTCCCTAGTGAGGACTAGGACCCAGTATGATGGCTTTAAAGGAAAAGATACTGAAGATACTGAAGCTATGAAAGCACAGAGGGGAAATCTGTGAGCTGCCCAAGCCCCAGAGCAGAGCACAGAACAAAGAATTATCCAGCCCTTTGCTCAGTGCACTCACTGACCAGACTGACCAAGGCCTCTCTTTTCTGCAGGCTGCAGTAAAAAAGTGGCTTCCTGGCAAAAGGCTGAACAGATGGTGTGCACTTGAAAAGGCACAGAATTACTGTATATGCAAAATATAATTATATCACTTCCATATGACTAACGCAGTTTTCTTCTGGAACAAATTAAAACATATCTGCCACACAGAAATTAACAGTGTGCAAACTAAAACACCATTTCAACAGCACATATCACCCACTTCAAAGCAATTAGATATGAAAACTGAACCATATTTAGTGCCTTTGACTTTCAGTGCCTAAAGAAGTTGGAGAGATTACTGTGTGAAGAGTATTGGTTTTCTTTAAATATCTGTAACGGCTTTTAAAAATTTTGACCTCAATTAGATTTACTGGGGCTGCTCCTTTGTCATTTAACAACAAAGGGTAAGCACACAAATTGGACCATTTCCTAAGAAATCCAGTAGTCTGTGCTCCCTCATTAGTACTTTCTACCCATCTTTTTGATTGAGAATCAAAAAATCTAGTTTAAATCATCCCAGCTTGACTGGCTGTGCACAGGTCTTTCTCACACATTTGCTTTTTCAGGGGCCAAAACTGCTTTCAAATGCATCCACCCATCACAACAGCCTTCCTCACATTCCCATCGAAATCCAGGAACTGAACTGGTTATAAAACCCTTGCAATTAGGCCTATGTCAGCACTACAGTTTGTGCTTTTTCTTGCTCCCCCCCCCCCTTTTTTTTTTCCCCTTAAAGATAAATTTTAGGAGAGAGGTCAAAAGTTAAGGTAATTTATAAATATTGCAAATGAATTTCCATTAGCTCTGGAGGGGCTGTGGCTGCTCCTCAATGTTCATCTTAAGAAGAATACTTCCCAAGGTCCTACAAACACAGCAGCTCTCCAGGGATACCCCAGGGAGATGTTTTGACAGCTTTGAAGTTTGGTTTTATCACATGGTTTAGTTCCTAATGGATTGCCTTGGTCTCCTGGATGGCATGTTTGTTCAACTTGCCTTCAACTCTGTTTATCCCTTTGTAAAACAGGTATTAAATGCAAGTCAATGCAAGCCAGGATGACAGGGGAGAGGGGGAACATTTTGCCAGGCTCCCAAAAAAAGATTCCAACAGATGACAGAGTGAGAGCTGCTCGGTTGTACGACATATTACACATGTGCATTAGCACACTTTTTCCCTGTAACAAGAAAAATAGTGCAACTTGAAGGCACATTTTCCCCTCTTAGATCTGCCTAGCAGGTCTCACTTTTGATATTTGGAAACATCTACCTCACAGGGGCCTTGAGAGGGTGAACATCAGGGTCAAAAGCCCCCATATGGCTCAGAGAAAAGAACTTTTCCTTTCAGCTGGAAAGAAGAATAAGGTCATTGACGTATTAATGAATCTTGTAAACTGCCTTAATGAAGTTCTAGTTTTCTTTGCCTTTTTTTGAACTCTGTCACTCCATTATACATGTAAATTTAATTTATTTGGAGTACATTAAATTTTTCTTCTGCACTGGCTGCAGTAAGTAATAGTTAGAAGCTAAGAAAACAGAATTCCATTCCTCTGCTAGTAGGGAAACAAAAATACATGTGCCAGCTCCCTTTGCTGCACTGTCAGCAAAACAAAAATATTGTTACATTTACCAGCCCAAAATATAATTATTTTAAATCTTTTCACATGCTTGGAAGTTCATACACATTTCTAAGCCTCAGCAAAACAAATGTAATCTGTCCAAGCAAGCACATACTGAGCTTAAGGAAACCTCTAAATTTCATGTAAAAAATTAAGGGGGGAGGGGAAGACAATTAATTTCAAAACAGTCTTATGAAAACATTCAAACAATAAGGGGGGAAAAAAAATGATAAGCTGTGCAGAGATTTTTAACTTACCACAAGAGTAAAGTACACCGTAAAGAAAAATGATAAACTACTTGTGTAGCCAAGAAAGCCTGTAAAATAACAGTAAAAATAAAAGAGAATTTATAAGGAAAGTGATCCTAATGTACAGCTAAAGCTTTACATTTTAGGCATGTTTTCTATTACAGTGCTGGGTATCTGGGGCTTAGGACTCAGAATAACAACATTCCAACTGCCTGTCACAGATCATTTATGTAGTTTTGTAGGGCAGAATTAGAACTGGCTTACCACTAATGGCATGCTGTAAGTAAACGCAGCTCTTTAATGTTCTGCTGTAAAGATTTTATTTTAGTATTGCAGACAAAATACTACTGCAACCCAAGTAATAGGTTAACTAGGCAGGGCTGGAAGGCAGAACACACTACAACAACTTAAGTAATCACCAGCACCACCAGCCCCCTGCAAGTTTAAATAAATAAATAACCCATTAAGGTTTTAAAGTCTTCAATCGTAATTGCTGCTAAAGTAGAATAATATTCGCTTCTCTCCTTTAATTACTCACCAATTTTGGGAAGAAGGGCAAGAGGAAAAACAATGCAGACTGAAGTAATGAGCAGCAGCAGCCTCCCATCGAGGTACCAAGACCTGTTGGAAAATCTATTTAGGACTGATACAAAGCTCAGGAGTCCTATAAGATATATTCTAATTTAGAACTGTGATCTTAGACGAAATAACCACTAGGACAAGAAAAAGAAATAATTTCCGGTTTCACATGCAATTTACACGAATTTGTATTCCCAGTTTCTATACTGTGACATAAAACAGAGCTCCCAGATAATGAGGGGGCAGAGCATCATCCCAAACTAACCAGCAGTGCAACGTTCCACAGCCAAGTGTCTGCACGGATCAGGGGCCTGATGTGCGTCATTTCTCAGCAGCACAACATGCAAATCCCTGCCTTGATTCACGGCAGTGATCAGAGGGAAGGGGATTTCATGATCTACAGACTTCCAACAGAGGTACTTACATAGCACACTACATGTATTTTAAACTGGATTACAGTGAGGTGCATATTTACACTGCTGGAAGAAAACAGCAACACCAATTCCCACTCACTGCCGAGCTTCCCTTCTAGTTTATTCCTTCTCCATGACCTCAGCTCCTTACCACTTCCAAGAGGTGCGAGGCAGAAAGCTAACTATCCAGCTGATTTGTTTGGAAACACACATTTTCTGAACATATCAGCTTTTCCTTCTGCCCAAGTTTCATTACAGCTAGCACTGTAGCATTAGAGTAATGGAAGAAAACATATATTTAATCAACTTTCAGTTACTTTGAAATTATGTTTCCTGTCCAGAGGTGGTATAAGAAGGTAGGGCAATAACGAGGATGTTCTTCAATTTTGCACAAAGCGATCACTCGTTCTTTGCATGCATCCACACAGGAATTAAAGGAAAAAAGGGACTGAAATGATGATAATGAAATCTGCTATAATATTCAACCATAGAACTATACCTAATAAAAAAAGCCTTGTAGAGGCACGGGAAGTCCTCACGCATTTAAAACCTGTTCGAAGTATCAAAAAATTCCCACCTCCAAACTGAGGGGAGCACAGATGGATAAGTTGTTAAGAAACAGAAACATCTTGAGGGTGGCTCTCCCGCCTTGGCAATAACCATATCCTGTACTGATAAACATCTTGCACATCAGCCTCCGACTTTACTACCTATAAACACCCTGACCTTTGACCTTCCAGTTTATTTAGTCCAGGATATGGTTAGCACCTAATAAACAGGCAGCACCTCGAGTTATCATAGGGAAAGCACCACAACACCTGTGTTAAAGAAGAATTATCCTCCAGGTATGTTAACTGCTCTTGTACTTCGTGGACAGCCACTTGTGTTGTGGAAGTGAACAGAATGATTTCAAGGCTGAGGGCGTCTTCACCACATGGAAACCAAAATGACCATTTAGGTGACAATGTCTGTATTAAAAATTAGTTAAAATAAATCATTCTCCAAAAAGTGTACAATTGGCCTAAGCCTGCTACTGCTACAGGGAAGAAGCAGCAACTTTGCCAAGATTAGCTCCCTGCTGTGGTATTTAGTCTTTGTGGTGTTGTCATTGAGCATTCTCATATTTTTTTACACTTTTTTCTTTCCTTTTTTTTTTTTTTTTATTTGTTTTTAGTATGGTGGGTGTTCAGATCAGGAGGAACAGCATCATGGCAGTAGGCATAAGTACAATGCACTGTGTGTACGGGTGGGACCTCTGTTTCAGTCCCATGATTCTAAACATGCAGCAACCCCACAGCTGCCGTCGAGGTTCACAAGCTCAGCAGGACAGAGAGGAAATTATTTTGGTTACTTTACTGTGGGTGAGGCAGGGAAGAGAGAGGAAAATGGCAATGAGGTGATGGGAGGGAGAAAACACAATTTTGTGAACTGCTCAATTTTGGAATACCAATTCTTACACTGAAAAAGACCTCAGGAAAAAAAAAAACCTGAATAGGGGACAATTTCCTGGTTATCAAAAAATACATCCATTTTCTCCTCAAAGTACTGTTGTAAAAATACACTTATTTTCCAGAGGCAGAATAAATGTTTTGATATTGCCTTTAAAATCAATTTGATCTGCAAATTTAATCCCATATGATAAAAGCGTTCCAAATACGAAATACAGAATATAAATCCTTGACTCTACCGAAAATGCTTTGGCATGCAGATGTTTCTCCTCCCTCCTCCATATTTTAACTAAAAGCAGACATTTATAAATCGCTTTAATTTCATTCCTGAATTCAGCAGAACAAGATATTCATATGTTCTAAATTAGGATCTTACTCTCAGTCCATATCAATTATATAACACACAAGCAAGACAACTTAATTGCATCAATCACATCCTCTGACAGGGTCATTAAATGTTAGCAGAGGGCTCACAAATTACAACTTTTTAACGCAATCCTCATTTGAAACTATGTTCATGTCATCAAAACTATGTGGAATTCTTGTTCTGCACACAGAAACATCTCCCACTTGCAATTAACAAGTGTTCATATCGTATGGCTTTGTTTTTTTAAAAAGGATGTGTTAGACTGGCCCTGAGCCTTTCAAACACACACACACACACACACACCTGCCATCCTTTATCTATAAAAACAACTTAATGCGCAAAACATTCTTTAAATGGTTTTCCCAAATGTAAGGCTCAGGAGGGTTTACGCATATAAAATACTTTCACAGGTAGTTTAGCTGACACTTTTGATACATTCTAACTACAGTTAAATGGAAGCGCATCAGATGCCACAATGACTTAGAACAGTTGTGCAACCACATCTGGAAACAAGTTGTCCAGGTAAAGAAGTTGAATCAAACTAGTCAATATTTATGCCCTTTGCATAAATAAGTTGTTGCTTAGGCTTGATATCTGGTTACCTATTTTTGTTGAACAATTTCCTACAATTTAAAATGTTTGCTAAGAAAAGCGTACACTTAACATCTGTGGGGGAAATCCACAGAAACGAAAGGTTATGATCTGCCATGGCCAGTAATGTGGCAAAAGAAATAAAATGTAGATGTGGGCATACAGAGAAGGTCAGCTGTGTGCATCTACCTGGAATACTGCCTGACCACTGCACTGGAAAACATAGCTTGGACAAGCATCAGAGGAGTGAAATTGTGTCAAACAAACACCGATCAGTGGAAGAACTCCCGTTAACAGAGGCAGAAACTGGGTGAGACTCAAGGCCACTGTGTATGGAGAGCGGGGTTAACATATGATCTTGAAGGAGGTTATAGCACCCAAATGAAAAGCTGCTGACTACCACAGCTGGAAGAGATACATTAGCAGGCTAAAAATTACATATACACATAAAATATAATAGTTTAAGGAAAAGAAAAAAAAAAAGATGACAGAAAACCAACAGAAACCTTACTAAAACTGTAAGGGCCAAGAGGGCAGAAAGACAGAGAGCAAGATCACCACCACAGTTCGTTTCTCAAGTTCATTATAAAATCTGGAAGTTGTAAGTGAAAATCATATAATGAACTAAGGTACCTTCTAACAAACTGCTTTCACACTTAAAATTCACCCACAACATTCAGGAATAATACAAGCACTGCACGGCCTTGAGACAATTTCAGCACATTTCAATCCAGAGAAAGTTTTGAGCTCAAAACATCTGAAAATAGCAATTTGGAAAAACAGCTGTAAGCCCATCCAAGATACACTGTTACGAATGACAGCAGCACTGGAACAACTCAAACGAGGTATTTCAGTGCTGAAGCTGCAGTGTTTGCCTTAGCACAGGCACAGATTCCTTGCCACAGTTCTGATGGAAATGTGAGGGACACACTCCTTACACACAGCTTTACAGCTCAACTGCAAAGAATCATTTCTTTACTGGGAGCCAAGTCAAGGAATTATAAACCAAGTCTGGAAACCTGGCATTTTTCCCAAGAAAAGTCCAATTACTAGAGCAAGACAACAAAATATTTAAATATAAATGCCTGCCGTTTTTTGTCCTGTGGTTTTGAAATATGTGAAGTGATAACATGACAGCAGTTTAAATGTTTCTCCTCCTCTCCCTCCTGCTTCCCCTTTTAAATTTTTACAGAAGGGAGATTCTTGTAGATGGAGTTTTGCCACTGACTTTAAGGTCGTCTGATGGGAAATGGCTATGAGGAAAGAATCCTGCTCTGCGTGCTCTACAACACTTGCACTTGCCAAATACATTTCATATTCCAACAACTGCTGTAAATAACCTTTTTTTTTTTTTTTTTTTTTTTTTTTGCAGATCAGAGGCAGTGTCAGCACCCAACTCCTTCAGCAGTCCTGATCCGCTTTTTCCTTCAGGACGAATACAGAGCGCAGGACACAAAGCGCTTTTCCTTACCCGCTCTCGGCTCCACTCAAGAACCCTGCAACAGCCCCAGGAAGCTCAGACTTCACAATTAACAGATAAGACGACATGGCTGCAAAGAGAAGCAGGACAGATTTAGCAGAGGAACACCACCATCTCCGGCTGTGACAGCCAGCAGGGCTGAACCGGCATGGTTCCGGCTGGAACATCCCGGCTCTGCGTTAGACACCGCGGCACCAGAACCAGAATTTATCCTCTCGCACACTTCCTTTAAAAATAGCTGCAAGTCCCCGAGTGTTGCACTGATGTCAGCTAATGCCTCCAAAGAGACTGTTACAATGTGAGTCTTGGAACAAGGAAAACATAATCCAAAGGACTAAAAGGCAAGAGGATACAGTACACAGGCCCGACCTTTTACCTGGGAATACAGACCTGCAGGCGAGAGGCAGACGACGAGGCTGCAGGCAGGACTCCTCCTGCCTCTTCACAAGACATTATTAATGATGAGAGTAAATAACAGTTATTTCTATCAGTACAAGAGGTTTTTTTTAATGACTCTGTTTTTAGTGTTGCTCGACTGCTGTTGTCCTAAACAAATATACGACAGAAATTTATATACAAGACTAGGACTTCAAAGGGATTTTTACACACTGCAAAGTTTGGCCTTCAGAGCTAAGAGGATTATCAGTGACAGACCCCTGCTTCTCATGCTAAACCCACCACCCAGAAGATCCCAGCAACAACATCAAGTGCAAAATACACAGGAACTGCCAATCAGAAGAGAAATTATTAGCTGCCCTTACAAGAGCGCTGACTTGAAATTAAATACTTATAATTCTATTCAGCAGAAAGCAATGATACAAACACATAAATCCCAAAACTCCTTCACTGTGTCAGTTTTCTCCTTTACTACATAAAACGATCAAAGGCATAAATGGGAAGGTATTAAATTACAACTTACACCAGCCTGATACCTTCACATACTGTTCATGTCACTTTTTTATGTAAACAGCATGTGTTTATATGAATCAAAGACTAGCAGAAAATCACTCAGAAAAATCAGCTTTACAAACAGCTTCAACAAGTATCAAAGCCTACATGGAACTAATTTCCATCCTTAAGCATCCAGTAATTTTAGTAACTTGTCAATAAAGGTTTAGTTACATTTAATCCTTGACAAAAATTCACCTGTTGTGTTCAGATGTTAGTGTTCTGTACTCAGTAATTCTGTAGAATTTTACCGTGCCATATTTATCAATGCTTTAAAATTAAAATGTACATTTTGAAAAGGTGAACCAGCAAACTTCCACAAGCTGATATTTGGGTTTTGGGTTTTTTTAAAGGAATGTTTTGAACCTCAAAAGAAGTGTGGACTCAGACACTGCTGTCTTACAGCAGTTAGTGTTAAATTTTGAAGAAAGGTGATGTGGTCTCTACAAAGAAAGCAAATTCTATTAATACAAAGTGACATCTACCTACCACAAGGTTAAATTAAAACCAATTTGGCAAGTCACTAAATAAGGAAATATTCACTTCTTCATAATTAAAAGCATTTTTTTCCCCAATATTCAAGTGCATTTCCCTGTTGACACATAGCTGTTGATTGTGCCTGGTGAGCTATTTATCTGCTGCCCTGATTTACTCTCCTGTTTGCATACAACAGAATGTAGATTCAACCGCAGAGAAGGCTGCAGCATGCATATTTCTAAATCACCAGAATTTGTAAGTAAATTAACACAGTTTCTCACACTAAGCTGCAGGCAGATGAAGATTTCACTTAATTTAAAAAAATTTAAATTAAAAAAAAAAAACAAAGAGGGAGAGGAAAACTTTGCTAAATTGTAATTCAACTTCATTTATCCATTAGTCCTCTTTCTTGTATGACACAATAATTTACACACAAGCAAGTCAGAATTTACATGTATTTATGTCCTTCAGGAAGATTTCAAAACTGGTTCTTTTGCAGTCCCCGCTGCAGAAAGCTTTGAATTAATTTCCAGATCAGATTTCCTCCTAATATGCAATCTGTCACTCTGCCCTTGCATTCCTATTAGCCTCTGGCTAATCATTTGATCACTTATCCTTTGTTGTGCACTTACTCTTTGTTTTTCAGAGGAGTCCTATTTCACTGAATTCCAAGGAGAGAGCCAATCCTGCACCAAAAAACTTGCATCTTTCTTCCTTTCTCTGGGCATATGGGAAACAATCTCATGTAGTAGGATTTCTCCCCCACCCCTTTATACTCTCTTGTTTGTTCTACAAGATGAATAATTAACAATAAATAATTTTATTTCTGTCCTGATGCTTAAAGAAGACCTGAATCTCATACATAAACCTGAGCAGGATGCCCACAGTAAATACAGTCTAAAAAACCAAATCCTGCTTTTAGTTCACTCACAAACACAATTTTAATTCTCCTCAGAGAAGAAGCTCCTTGTAGCTTTACTCAGTGTAAAATGAGATATTAACCACTGTGTAACTCTGACACACACTAAAAAGGTGAGCAAAGAACATGGTTTGTTTGGTGTTTTAAAGCTGAAACGAAACCAAGAAAAACTAAAACAACACAACAGAATTTTGTCCGTTGTATTCTAGGCACTTGGAATAAAGTAGGAGTTCCTACTCTGGGAATAAAGTGCCTAGAATAGGACAGACAAAAAAAACCTGTATCCTTTGCTCCAAATAACAAATTGTACTTCACTTCCCTGACACCCACCGCGACCAAAGCCACGTCAAGCTACATCGTACAAATTAAACGTCAGCTCTCCTTGGCAGCCCTGGTGTGGAACGGAAGGAAGAGATTACACAGCCACGAGACTGAACTGTGACACAAGTGAACACAACAAAAACCCCCACCTTGTGCTCTGATTTATTCCACTTTGAAACACTGACATGAGACGTCTATTTTGGGACTGAATGAGACAGGATTCCTGCAGAGCAAATGGTGTGCAAGGGCACAGTCTGAGGCTTCAGCAATATGCAGATGCAGCAAGTCCTGAACTGCAACTACATAAGCAACCTTAGTCAAGTCACTTCCTAATTTTCAGGTCCTTAATTTGCATGCATTATGTTATTTTTAGATAATTTTCAGTAGGCACCAGGAGCTCCTTGACGGAGAACTAAGCAGCTCTGAACTTCTCAACCCGTATTCAGCAGAAATCAAAATTATATTCATAGTTTATTATTCAACAGGTTCCTTGAAAGCAGCAAGAAACTATACACTCTTGAAATATATATCACTTCATCGTGTTCTGAAAACTTGGTATTAGCTCTCTGACACAAATAAAGATGTTTGATAAACATAAAATATATTTGTTTTACACTTCCATTATCAAAGTCTCCACCATGAGCTGTGACTCTCTAGACATATACATATCATGTACACATTGTTCAGAATGCCTTTGCTGTGCTACAATATTGTGCAACACTGAAGACATGTGCCCCTACCTGCAAAAATACTAGTTGTTGGAGAAAAATCTAAAAATCAAACATGTGGATGGCTTTAGTTACCTGGGGAAAAAAAAGTGTAACCTTTTCTTATTAGCCTTTCCGAAACAAGACCAAGTGCTGAAGTCCATAGCAATTACACCAGAGAATATATATATTAAACTTGTGATAAATCCCTTCAAATCACTTAACTAAACAGGCTGATCAACTCTTCTGATCAGTTTTCCCACATCTACCACTGATAATATTAGAGACTTATAAGGATGTTAAGTACTATGGAAGAATGGAAGCAAGCTCCCTTCCAATCTTCCCACAGAAGACAGGGGGCTGGGAAAAAAACAAATTGGATCAATAAAACCACACAGGCTCCACAGCTCCTACTTACAAAAAAGATTTGGGAGTCAAAAGCAGACAGAGCAATCTTGATTTTCAGCTGAGGGAATACCAGGTGAAACAGGGATTCCTCACAAATGTCTACAGATAACTGAGATAAACAAAAATGCCTGTAACTCTCAACCTCTAAAGAGTTCAGACAGGAAGATACCAAGTTTTCCCAAAACACTGGAAGAGATGAGAGGCTGAACAGCAGAAAGATCAGAATAAACACTCCCAGTCCCTGCACACTCCAGCCCATCCAAGCTGGATCCTTCCTATCAACTGCACGTGACAAACCCCTCCGGGCTCGTGCCTCCCTCTGCTGATACAGGGGTTGTTTAAAATTGAATCTGTCCTAATCCAAACAACGTGGCACAGTTAAAAAGGAAAGCAGGGAAGGAGCTCAAGAAAGAAAGTGAAACTAGGGAGTATTTTGGGCAAGCTTCCATTTTTCGCGCTAAAGAACAGGAACGGACTAGGAAGTACTTCAGTGTCGCACTGACCTTCTTACATGGAAATCAAATTGTGGAAACATCAGGACTGACGGATGGATGCCACTGAAAAACATCAACCTTCACACCATATGGCCTTAAAAGTCTGCTCTTTGTTTCACTTTGCACTGAATCCCCCACATACCCAATTTTAAGAAGTCTCCCAATACCTTGATGGGTTGTTTTTAATATTTCCTCTTAGTGGAAGCTTAAAAAAAAAAAGTCTTGGGATAATTTGTCTGTTTTAAAATCCAGATGTAGAATAGAGTGTGTGAAAGATGTTTGTTCACATGGAGATATTCTGAGAAGTGAAAAACGTTGTCAACTTCCTTGCTAGTCTTCATATTGGACACTCATCCTGATAAATTTCTGCTCCCCTGCTTCCTTTTCCTTCTACCTTTATCTTTTACCTGAATTTCTTTGGAACTTACCTATGGCAAGCTTTAAAAAAATCCTTCTTATTCCATAGGGAACACTTGGGCAGCAGATTTATTTTGGTAAAATTTCATTAGTTTAATTACATGTGTATATTTATGCTAAAAAAAGGGAAAGTTTCCTCACATATTCCATTCTGAAGTACAGCTGCAGGTTGGAATTTTGGTGGGGTTTTTGATTTTTTTTATTTTTTTAATTACTTAAAGCAGGCTTAATATTCTTTACAGTATCAAAACTTCCAAGAACTATCCACTGCAATAGGAAAACACAGGAGCATGGGTTATCAATTGTTAAATTTGTACAGGAGCTGACAAACCTGCCCTTAATTAAGGCAGCTCTGCACTGGAAATCCTCACTGAATCAG